TGTGGCCTCTAAGCTCAAGGTGCCAAGTTCAGTCTTAGTTGCAGGTGGGCAGGTGGGCATAGCCACCATCCCATGTGGGAGTCGAACTAGGAGACTTGTTGTTAAGAGTACATGCTCTATCCACTGAGCCATCTGGGCGGCAGCTCAGCTCAAGGTGCCGAGTTCATCTGAGTTGTGGGTGGGCATAGCCCACCATTGAATAGGCAATCTTGTTGTTACACCAGCTGAGCCATCCTGCCACCTGTTGGCAGCTCAGCGACAACTCAGCTCGGGTGCAGCATCACTGGCCCATGTGGGAATTGAACAGGCGGCCTTGTTGCTCAGAGCTCGCGCTCTTAAAGCCAACTCTTAACCAACTGAGCCAGCCGCCGATGTGATTTACTTTTAAAAGGATCAATCTGGCTGTTCTTTTGAGAGTATGATGTAGGAAAAGGGCAGAGGTAGAGAGATCGATCAATTTGGAGGTTCTAGCGAATCCAAACAAGAGATGGTGGTGGCTTAGACCAGAGTGAGAGTTGTAGAATTAGTTGGATTTTGGTCATATTTAAAGGTTAGAGCTGATGATAGGTTTTGGATGAGATGTGGAGTGTGAGGGAAAGAAAAGTCAGTGGTGATTCAAGGGGTGAAAATGTGATTAGGATGGGGTCAAGAGAGAATGGTAGAAGAGGATTTGGAGACAGGGAGTGTAGACAACTATACTGAATGGTGGTTCTGTGAAAGAGTATATAGAAATGGAATGGCTGCCAGAGGCTTATGTTGGGTTAAGAGAGCTTTGTTGTTTTGAAGATGAGAGATGTAACATGTTTTTGTGCCGAAGAGAAGATTTTCATAGAGAGGAGAAAATGAGTACTTAGAAGAGATGGGGGAATTATTAGAGTTATGTCCTTGAGTAGGGGAGAAGGAATGAGAGGACACAGGTAGGAGGGTGGACCTGGTGGGGACAGTTATTTCCTTGTGTTAAAACCTCAGAACTGGAGGTTCGACTTCATCAAAGATATTTGGGAATTTTACAACCTTTTACATATTGCTATAATTCTTTGAGAATTTTTAACTCATTTTAGAAGGTTGCTAGAAATGTTAAAATGTCCTGTATCTGCCAGTAGGATTTTATTTTATTTTATTATTTGCAATTTGGTGACTCTCAGTATATTCACAGACTTGTGCAACCATCACTACAGTTAGTTTGCCAATAGTATTTTGATATATTTAAAAAAATATTTAGTGGTTAAAAAGAGGCTTATCTTGCTGTTAGAATTAAATTTATTTCTCATTTTCTTTATTTCTGTAGTGGTCTTAAATTTACCACCAGCTCCCTACCTTAAAAAAAAAAAGCTGGAAGTAAATACGTTGTTTAATTTTTCTTGTAGTGTTTTTTTTTTTTTAAGATTTTTTTATTGGGGGGAATTGGAGGGATGGGAACAGTGCTGGGGAATTGGGGGAAGGGGAACAGACAAGTTGCTGTCGTTTTGTTCTTCAGTCTAGTTGTGGAAGATGTCGCTTCACTGGTCCATGTTGGTATTATCATTGCACTCTTCCCGGGAGAGGCAGTTGCTCACCGGCCATTGGACGGCCACTAACGGCAGCTCACTCTGGCTGCTGGCTACTCATGGTAGGTCACGGCAGCCCACTGCAGCCTACGCCGTCGCTGGTGACTCACAGCATCCCAGCTCCAGGTTGAGCTGTTGTTCACCATCTTAGCTGTAGAGGGCTCAGCGTCACTGGCCCTCATGTGGGATCTGAACCAGGGTCCTGCTACTCAGAGCTGGTATTCCAAGCCAACTTGTAACCAACGTGCCACTTGGCCGGTCCATTTACTCACTACTTTTATAGTGATAGGCTGCCATTTTTCATAGACTTGTGCACTTAATCTATTCAGCGAACATGTATCACACGCTGTGTCTGTGCCCAGGGTTGTACCAAGTACTGGTGTTACAGGGAGGCTAAAGCCCTCCAAGAAGCCAGTGTATTGGTGGTAGTTGAAAACATAGAAGTAGAAGGGACTGCTGAGAGAGAGCACGTTGGGCAACAGAAGAGGCCTGGACCCTGAGAGGTAATAGTGTATAAAGACAGAGGGAGAGAGTAGAATCTATCGAAGGAGGCTAACGATGGACCAGCAAGGGATTTGGTACCTTGGAAGAAGTGTGTCATAGAAGCCAAGATATCTTTGATCTGAAAGGAAATTTTCAGACTGAAGTTTTAGATTTCAAATAGGGAAATTGAGGTCCAGTGAGTGGTGTGACTTGTCTAGGTTTCATATGAAAAACCAGTGATGGAGCTGAGTCCAGAATAAGTAACCTCTTGATTCTCAGCCCAGTGTTTTGTTTGTATCCAGGTATAAGACTTTTGTTTCAGTTATTTCTGATGGAATCTTAGATGTGTGTGTCTGTGAAGGAGGCGCTCCTGGATTTTAGCCTGTATCATTCATTTTCCCAGCAGTTTATAGCTAGTCTTTAAAAAAAATAACTTTAGACTGTAAAGCACAGAATGAGACTTTTAAAAGCCATTTAAAGAGATAACCTTTCTCACCTGTATGTAGAAAATATATTTTAAAAAATTTTATGACACTATATTCTCTATCAGATGGTTTTCAAAGGAGTTTTACAGCATTATGGTGATGAAAATTATAGTAGTTAAATTGAAATACTGTCATTTGTTCCACAGATCTAGGTCTAAAATCATATTACTTCTTTTTCTAGGGGAATGAATTTTAGGAGCAACCTTTAAAGTTTTATTACCTGTCTTCTATTATGTATACTTGTGACATTTTATAAATAATAAAGTTTGCTTTATTTCACATAAGCATATTTGAATACATGTCATGATAAGGTAACATTTCGTGAGAGAAAACATTAATATTTAAGAAATTTCAGATATGTTGTGGCTTCCTTGAATTCCTCTATTGTCATCTCAAAGATTGCTGAAGTATATTCCTGTAGATTATATTTGAAGCATCTTGAAACAGTTTTGTTTTTTTTTAAGGAAATTTTATTGGGGAACAGTGTGTTTTTCTAGGACCCATCAGCTCCAAGTCAAGTAGTTGTTCCAATTTAGTTGTTGAGGGCATTTTTCCAGGACCCATCATCGCCAAGTCAAGTAGTTATCTTCAATCTAGTTGTGGAGGGCACAGTTCCTTGGCCCATGTGGGAATCGAACTGTCAACCTTGGTGTTATGAGCCTGCGCTCTAACCACCTGAGCTAACCCGCTGCCCGAAACAGTTTATTTAAAAAAATTACTATTATAGCATTCCTTTTCTTAGAAAATATCTTCGTTTGTTAAGAAATAGCTGCTGTTTTAAATAACATGAAAATCATGTCAACTAAATCATGTATTCTAACAGCTAGAATTTTTATACTTTTAGAATCTTGATCTTATATGATACAAAGTGTTTTATTAGTAGAGAATTTATCTTTTTCACGTAAGATTTCTATTAGATTTAGTATTTTATATGGCTTTGAGTCTAAAATAGGATTAATAAATAGAAGCTCTTATCTGACTTTTCTTCTGCATAATATCTTACTGCTCTGAAAATGAGTAATTCTTAGTTAACAGAAGTATAAGTGGCATTCAAAGTTATTTTCATCTCTTCTAATTGCATCAACATTTAATATTCGTTGTTTTCTTCCTTCGTATGCTCATGACTTAGTTAACAGTTAAGATATTAAAATCACAACCTCTTTTGTAATATAAAAAACAATGTTGAGTACTTAGTTTTAAATATCCATAGTGGCAGAGATGGACTCATTTAATGATTAAGAAAAGGAAATACTTAGGAAGTGTAGGAGCACATGAGCTCCTCCCAGGAGTGTCATAGAGGAGTGTAGGGATGAAGTGTTGGATGATCAAGCCCCACACTGCACAGATAATGGGGAAATACCTCATTTTTACCCAATTTAATGTAGTGTGACATGAATGAACACATCCCTTTCTACCTAGGGCGCAGCCACATGCAAACCATTATATATTAATCTGTGTAATAACTGTATATCAGAATATTCACATTGGTATTGTGGCTCCAGCAGTCCAAGTAGTGAAACTTTTGCAATAATGTAGGCCTGAGGAAATAAAGGCCTGAGTTAGGAAGATTGTAGTAGGAATGAACTCAAGGGGACAGATGATAAATGTTATTATCATCATCTGAGAAAATATAAATTACATGAGTTAGAGACTATAGAATAGTGCATGGGAATCACGTGGAGAGTTTGTTAAACAATTTGCTGGCTTCACCCATAGAGCTTCTGATTGAGCAGGTCTGGAGTGGGGCCTTAGAATTTGCATTTATCACATGTTCCCAGGTGATGCCGCTGTTGATAGCCCAGGAACCACATTTTGAGAATCACTGCTGTAAAGATATAGACTCTTTCCCATCTCCACATTCTCTGTATGCAATAGAAAGTCAATGGTAGCAGATGAGAATTCTAATTAAGTATTGTTGTTTTAAGATTTTATTGGGGAATTGGGGGAGGGGAACAGACGAGTTGCTGTCCTTTTGTTCTTCAGTCTAGTTGTGGAGGACGTCCCTTCACTGGCCCATGTTGGTATTATCATTGTGCTTTTCAGGGGTGAGGCAGTCGCTCGCCGGCCATCAGTCGGCCGTTCTTGGCGGCTCACAGCAGCTCAGAAAAGCTCATGCCTGCTGCCGGCCTGCCCCACTGCAGCCTATACTGTCACCAGCAACTTATGGCAGACCAGCTCCAGGTCGAGCTGTTGTTCACCATCTTAGTTGTAGAGGATGCAGCGTCACTGGCCTTCATGTGGGATCTGAACCTGTGCCCTGCTGCTCAGAGCTGGCGTCCCAAGCCAACTCCTAACCAACGTGCCACTCGGTTGGCCCTAATTAAGTGTTTTTGTGTTTTGTTTTTTTAGGCCAAGCGATGGTAGTAACAGTGATGCAACATGTCATATTGAAGTCCTAAAATCATTGGATATTGAAGAAAGCATTTGGTCCCCTAGATTTGGATTGAAGGGCAAAATAGATGTTACAGTTGGTGTGAAAATACATCGAGGTTGTAAAACGAAATACAGAGTGATGCCATTGGAACTTAAAACTGGCAAAGAGTCAAATTCTATTGAACACCGTAGCCAGGTATAAATCTTATAAGAAAATTGAATGTTTAATAGATTTAAAAATGTAGTCTGCTTTATATACTTTAGTTCAATTCAGGTAATGTTTATTTGAATTTCATATAGTACTTTTCTTTTTTTTTTTAAATGGAATATATAGTACTTTTCAATTTGTGACACATCCATAGTACTCAAATTGTTTTATAAATGTTTACATGGCTACCGCAGAAAGTTTTCTCCAGCAAAGAACTACAACAGCTGAACTTGTAAACCAGTGTTGCCAAGTTTATGCTGCCAAACTACCAGTCTAGCCAGATGCTCCTAAAAAAAAAGAAATCCTTGGTCAAGTAAGTTGGGGAAACCTAGTATGTTTGTAGATAATGATGCCCATTAGCCTGTTAAAGTTTCTGAGAAATCTTAAAGTAATATGATTTGTTTTAGGTATGTTTAATCCAATGTTTCCTAAACTTAATTTACCATGGAGCTATGGTTTTCGTGTAATTTCTACATAGGACACATCAGTGTAAATTCATTCTTTTATTCCCTACTGTTAATCTGATTATATAGATTTTTACCTAAAATGAAATATAAAACTGTCTTAATAAAGCAAAAAAAAGCTAAAAAGAAAAAAACAAAACAAAACAAAACTGTGTCTTACTATTATGTTAAATTCAAGTTGTTTATCATCTTTCCTTCTCTTTGGTAAACATAACAATCTTTTGTTGTTCTTCAAATTATCTGAAATTTATATTAATTTTAGTGACTTCTAGTAATTAACATGAATTTCTATTTTGTTTTCTAATTTTTTCCATTCCCTCTGCCCAACTCTACATTGGCAGTCCTTAGTATGTTTTAGGCACTTTTAAGCAGGCAAAGATAAAACTAAAATATAGCAATATTATTGTATTGTTATGGTATAATATAAATTGAGGGAATAACAACATAACATTTGCAATATAACTTAAATTTCCTTTTGCCCTTGGAATTTCACTTAGTTTAGCAGGTTTTATATAAAATAAGATTCAGATTCAAAATATTGAATTATATAATAAGGGATTAAAGAGTCTTTCTCTTTTTAAAAGAAATTAAATTTATTGGGGTAACATTGGTTAATAATATCAATTAATAACATTATATAAGTTTCAAGTGTTGAATTCTATAATACATCATCTTCAGCTGTATATTGCACTGTGTGCTCACCACCCAAAGTTTAGTTTCCCTCTTACACCATATATTTGTTCCCCTTTACCCTATTTGTCCTCTCCCTCAACTCTCTTCCCCTCTGGTAATCTTACTGTTGTCTGTAAATACACTTTCTCTTATTAAATCTCTTGCGTGAAAAACTTTTAAGAATAAAATAGTATTTCATGTATTAAAAAAAGAAGAGGGCCGGCTGAGTGGCTCAGTTGGTTAAGAGCTCGCTCAAGAGTTTGAGCTCTAAGCAACAGCGGTTCGAGTCCGGCCCGAGCTGAGCTGCCGCTGAGCTGCCAAGAGGTGGCAGGATGGCTCAGCTTAAAAAAAAAAAAAATAGAACAAGGGCCAAACAAATACATTGGGGTTTATGTTGTGTATTCATTATGCAAGAAACAAGGAGACACTGAAAAATAATTATGGTATTTCATTGAGTTATATAGATATTGGGGATGAAGAAAGACACAGATTTCTCCTCTTAGAAGATTTGACTTTTTCACTTTGGTATTACAGAAAAAGCTTACGTTATAAACTAACTTCAATTAAGGCAGATCTTTACTTTATAAATGGATTGTATTCCAAAAGTTCATTTGTAAGTGAGTGATGTATCATTTGAAATACGCTTTCTAAAGGAAAAATGTTATATGGAGCTGTGATTCCTAAACCCGCTCACAATAACCTATATAACTTGTGATATAATTGAATTATAATAATACTGTAAAATTTCAACCCAACTTCCTTTTATCATAATATTCAGGGAATTTCACTTCAGATATTTCCCCCTTCTCATAAGTCCCAGAAGCAGAGTCCTATGTACCTTTCCTTCTGCCTCCATTCCCATCGAGGGAAAAACTTAACACGGAAGGACCATTAATTTTGGATGACTCCCTTGGTCCACAGCCCCAAGTGTCTACTCTGTCATTTATGAATTCGCTTTAATTTTAAAAACTTTTCTTTGATATTTATGCTGTATCAGGGAACACAAGTAAGGTGCTTGTAAGAAGACATCCCAAAACATGCTTCACAGGCCCAAATGTTGATGCAACATCCCTTCATAAGAATCTTGTGTTTACAGATAAATTTAGTATATCATGCTAAAATATCAAACTTTGGTGTGATTATTTCTTAAGACTGAAATTTTCCACATTTTACTTCTTAGATATTTGAGGTTACCTTAAGTATTTCTGTAAATGTCCTTGATCATTGAGGTATCTGGAATTGTATTCTCTTTGCAAAATTTATATGTTGGAAATTTCTTCTATATTTCTATTACTTGCTCATTGCACAAGCACCACTATTTTTGGCAGGAGCAAAAGAACAAAAACCAATGAGATTTAATTCATTTTTGTTTTTTTGTAAGCCTGTCTTGTGATCTTGATGAGTTTGTAGATATAGTTAATATTTATGCTGCAAATAATACTTTTTGCCTTCTATACATTTTTTTTTTCCTTTTAGATTTTTATTGGGGAATTAGGGGAGGGGAATAGAGTTGGGGAATTGGGGAAGGGGAACAGACAAGTTGCCGTCCTTTTGTTCTTTAGTTTAGTTGTAGAGGACGTCGCTTCACTGACCCATGTTGGTATTGTGATCATGGCACTCTTCCTGGCTGAGGCAGATTGGTTGCCGGCCATTGGATGGCAGCTCACTCTGGCTCATGGCAGTTCACGCCGGCTGCCTTCCGCTCATGGTAGCTTATGGCAGCCCAGCTCCAGGTTGAGCTGTTGTTCACCATCTTAGCTGTAAGAGGACACAGTGTCAGTGGCCCTCATGTGGGATCCGAACCGGGGCTCTGCTGCTCAGAGCAGCCGTCCCAAGCCAACTCCTAACCAATGAGCCACTCAGCTGGCCCGTTGCCTTCTATAAATTAATTATTATATTATATTTTAAATATAGTTTAGGAAACGAGAATATAATTATAATTTGACTTTATTCTTAGGCGTGTTAATTATTACTTATCTTGGTATTTTGTAATTTTATGACGTAAAGACTGGGTGTTCATAAATCATTTAATATTTTAATCTTGGAGCTTGCTTGGAAAACAAATTAACTTGTCAGGTTGTATATGACTAGCTAAATGACTTTTGCTGCTAAGGTGTTTTCATGAACTTAAGGAGCTATTTCTAACTGTGTTAGATGTTTTCTCTGAGGAGCACATAAACCTAGTGTAGTTAATGAAGCTTCATGCCCCAGGAAAAACAGTAAATTCTGTAGTTAGTCTCATTTAGTTGTCATAGTAATTATGAGAAAAATATGCTTTTTAGTGTTTAGTTAACTTATTTTAAACAGGAAAAAGTGTCTAAAGACTGTTAACTTCAAAATGCAAAACATAAACAACATTTAAAAAAATGTAAAACATAGTTTAATTTCCCTCTTTAATTTACTGGAAACCCAAATATTTCCTGTCTAAGAAAAATTTGAAATATTTCTTTATTGTCTGTAAAACTGAGAAGCATAAACTATGTTTTGTGGAAATTAAATATTTGACATTGAATTTATTGTGTTACCTTTACTAATTTTGCTCTTGTTATTTTCAAAATGAAAATAGCTTAACTGACCTTTTGATTTTAAAATGACAGTATGTGTTGATTGCAAAACATGTATGGAAACATAGAAAGGTAAAGTTGTATTTGACAATTTGACAAAATGGACAATATTTTCACAGCTTGTCCTGTACACACTGCTAAGTCAAGAGAGAAGAGCTGATCCAGAAGCCGGACTGCTTCTCTACCTCAAGACTGGCAACATGTACCCTGTGCCTGCCAAGCATCTTGACAAACGAGGTTGAGCTGTTGTTTCCTGATTGTACTTCTCTGGGTTTTGCTATTTTGTTTGTTTGGTTGTTTGTGTTTTCCTTCAACTTTTGGTGATGCAGGCATACCTCGGAGGTACGCAGGTTCAGTTCCAGACCACCACAATATAACGCAAATATCGCACGCAGTAAAGCGAGTCACACGAATTTTTTGGTTTCTCAATACATATAAAGGTTTTGTTTACATGATACTGTCATTTGTAAGTGTGCAATATCATTTATCTAAAAAAAAAA